TAATATCCAGTTTTCACTTTCTATTCCAAATAATAAAAAGGTATGGCTGCACAAGTAAATAGCTAAGAGCGTGACCATTGCTTTGATGTTTTGAATCACTGTTCGCTTGCTAGAAACCACCTTGTGTATGTGCTCTGTTTTTATTCTTGAGCAATTGTTTCAGTAGAATAAAACCAATTCAGATACAGTTTGATATCCAGGGAACACGAAAAAAATGGAGTATCTAGGCGCTTGGCATCATTAGTAACATTATTCTTAGGTAAAAAAACTCAGTTTCCTTTCAAATGATACTACTCGAAACTGTGATGTTGTGATTTATGAGATTTTCCTGTATGTGATGTCGATATGTTACAACAAATTCTGTTTAAGAATCTTTATAAAAGAGGACTTTGATTTTGAAAGCTTTTATTAGGATGAAAAGAAAATTGGCGTTAACCAGCAAAGTAGTAACTCGGACTCTTCGTGGTAAAGAGAATTCTAAATTCAGACCTTTTAACGACTGTTTCAAAAAATAATTACTTACTCAAATACTGAGGTGGCCTGTTTCACTCGTCGTGCAGGCCTCAGCATTATTTCCATCCGTTTTCGTCCCTCGCTAACGTCATATTGGTATTAAACTGCGGCGGCGACGTGAGAGGTCCAGATCCGTTACTCGTCATCAACTGAGAATTCAGCTGATACGAAGCAACGAACAGGTCAGCCCATCTGGTGGCCTTCCCTCGAGGACATTTTGCTTCGCGAGATTCCAAAGTCCTTAGTGTCCATCTGTCGGCTGTCCTTCTCATTCATGACCAGCCCATCAATGTTTTGCCCTAAAGACGTATCCCGTTGGATTCCGCCGGTGGATCATTTTGGCCATTTGGTCCTGGAGAATGAACATGATTGTAATCACCATGTTTTCCAATTACAGCAGACCACTTTTCCAGCAAATAAGTGAGTTTGAGCCCCTGTAGTAAGATCGTGCCACACGGAATCGCCCTTCTTATAAAGTAGGATTTTCAGAGGGTTCTCCACTGGTCGGGAGCTCTTTCCTTTTGAACGTAAGATTTCAGGTGCAAAATTGCTGTAGAATCTCTTGGCGATCGATTCCATCGGGAAGATGTGCGAGTCTCGTCTTCGTTTAGTAATGTTGGCTTCGGAACACAATACTCGAGAAGGTCCCTGCGGTATTCTTTAGACTTCTCTTTATTTGTGCTGCTTCTAAACATTTCGATCGTCTTTACTTTCGAAGATCTTCTTGTAAAGCTGTTCTGCAACTGGTATTGGCTAGCGGTCGCTCAAGATGTGATGCAGTTGAATCCAGCCTCAGTGCTCCTCTCCTTTCTAGCAGATCCTTATTGGCTTTCGAAATCCGTTTCAAGCTCCTTGTTGTTCGCAACATTGAGGCACTTTCAGCACACACTTTCGATCCTCTGTGAAGCAGGTTGTAGTCTTTTGTGGGGTCCTCCTCGATGGGCCAGCCACAAGTGGTCAGGAGCTCCTCCATGACGCCGTTGTATATGATCTCTCTCCTTCCTTCAAACGGTGGCAGGTTTTTTTCCAGGTTTTGGCTGAATCGCACTTTTGCTCGAAGGATGCGGTGAAGCCAAAACTGAAGGATGGTACCACTGAGACGTCCAGTAAGCACCACCTTTGATTGGTGAGAATGTGGTCGACCTCAGCATAAGTTGTAAAGTTAATTCCCATGTCTACCGCAGGTTCTTTCGTCATGAAAATGGAGTTGCCATGAAAAAGTCATGCGACGGATAGGAGCCCAACAAGACCTTTACCATTGACGTTACCACTACGACAAATTTGTAGAGGAACTT